GGAAGTCTCTCATTCATGTACTGACTAATCCCAACCCCACTTAGCCTGCAACATCTGACAAGATCATCGCCCAAGGTGGAAAGGATGTGAATGTAATTAGGTAAATGACTAATTAGCAGGTTTCAGATCTGGCTGTAGAGAAATGGCTATTAGTTTTTTGCCCTCTCTGGGCTAGAATTCTAATTATATATAATTATTCCTTTGAAACTCTGCAGATTTCTGTGTACCAAAAAGCACAGAGCAGGAAGACCTTCCAGTAAGGCCCCACTTCCATTTAGCAATACCCTGGGCAGTAAGAATTTTTACATGACTACTACAGAACAATTTTAGTACAATACAACTTCACCCATACAACTTTAAAGGCCCAGTGTGAAATGGGCAACTCATTCTGAAAATACTGAATAATAAAAAGTTGTACTGAGATGCAAATGTACTAAATTAACGACTCTAATTCTAAGCCAGTGATCACCACCAGTGGCACTCCTATGGACGCCACAGTACTCACCAACGAGTTTTCCAGTGCCCATTTGCTTCTTCCCCCAAGCAAAGAGTGACTCCTGGATATCTTCCACCTCACCAGAATAAGGAAGAGTGTCAAAAGAGCCCAGGACACACAACCTCTGTGTCTGCAAGGAGCACCTGTTCAGAAGGAACTGTCTCCCTCACAAGAGGATACTTTACTTGAATCTCTCAACATTTTGTCAATGAACTCTGCCCGCATGGCAGTCATTTTATGATGTTAACACAACTTACTTGGGGGCTCTTTTCCCCCAACACCAACTTCCTAAATGTGGTCAAGGCAGTCAAGAAACTAACTGCTTGCGAGACATCAAACAAGAGTATCACTGTAGCACATTTAGCTACATACAAGGTTATTCCATTTCAATTAGCCTCGTTTGATGAACTATTTAACCCTGGCTAAGGTGAGGAAGGAGATGGGTAGATTGTGGGAGAAGAATGCACATTCCCCATTTGTGAAATGCACTTAATACAGAGCCCAGGTTAACTCTGCTATGGCCCGAAAGAGCACATACATATCTGCATATATTCCCCAAAGGGAATATTTCTTTTAAAATGTTACAATTCTAGAAGCTGAAAAGCAGAACAGAGCCTTGGCTGGAAATCTGAAGCTTGCAAAAATATTCTATATCAAAACAATGCTGAGCTGAAGCAAACGATTTCTGGCACAGCTTCATAACCCAGAAGAAATGGTTTTCAGCTTAAATAGTTCTTCTGGCACCAAGATGCAAATACAATGTACAATGCCAGAGTTCACTGAATAATGGAACGGATCTTTTTTATGTAGTAACACCACCTCAGCTTCACATGTGTTCCAATGCTCTGTTTTTATGCTCTTCCACAATCATGCTTATTTGCTCATACACAGGGACAGTTCTGCATGAAGGGCCAATTTGTGTAAAATGAAAGATCACGTGTGGGAAGTGAATATTCATAACATTTAATTTCTCAGCCCAAACACAAAGAAACAACATGGCCTAGCACTGATTTACCAAAATGGCTATTTGCATCCAATTGTAATACACACTTCAGAAAACACTGTCATTAGTAGGACTCTAAGTTTATTAGATTAATCAATGCAATGAATCTGCTATCCAAAACTTAATCATAGATTAAAATAGCATGCCAGTAAGTCATATAAATCACTATCCTTACGCTTCTGAAACATTTGTACTAGAGCAAAAGATTATATGGCTATGAGAAAGGGAACTTTGCAATGCTCAGCTACATCATTGCTTTGACAATTAGCTCTGATGATACTGTGAACAATTCTATGCATCTCAACTGCGCAAGTCTTAAGACTGGTAAAAGGTAAAGGTAAAGGTTCCCTTGCTCGAAAGCCAATCGAGTCCGACTCTAGGGTTGTGGTGCTCATCTCCGTTTCAAAGCCGAAGAGCCAGTGCTGTCCGAAGACGTTTCTATGGTCATGTGGCCGGCATGACTAAACACGAAGGCACACGGAACGCTGTTAACTTCCCACCAAAGTGGTACCTATTTATCTACTTGCAATTTCTTCCTTTCGAACTGCTAGGTTGGCAGGAGCTGGAACTAGAGACGGGAGCTCACTCCATCACGCGGCATACTTGGGTCTCGAACTGCTGAACTACCGACCTTCCACAGCCTGCAGTTCAGCGTCTTAACCACTTGAGCCACCACAGTTAAGACTGGAGTATGTGTTTAAAAGAGACGGGGGAGAAAATAAGCCATAAGACATCCATTAATTTACAGTGAATTTCTGCTACCTGAATTCGTCACTACTACTATTCAATTAACCAACATGATGACTGATAAGGTACATGTAGAGAAAGTATGAGGAGGGACTCTGCTAAACCTGTTCCTGGTGATCCTCAGACTGATACAACCTCCATGACTGTGTTCCAGTGCAGCCGGTGTGGGAACTCCCATGGAATTCTATGCATCTGCATATCTCTGGCATGGGTGCTGCTTCTGAACTATACTAAAGTGTAACTGTCCATTAAAAAAAAACAGTTCCCAACCTTCGGGGAGAGACATTTTTGCTTATCTATACAAGGATAATCAACTCTATTAAATTTGTGCTAGAGCACCTTGAGACAGTACTAGAACATCCCCAATTATGACGTTACATCAGTCTTGCTACAAAGCCACTATTGGTGGGAATATCAAGTCATTTAAAGACACTATTTAGAATCTATTCGCTACAGAAGCTATAAAGACAGAAATGGTCACATAAAATTTTCACGTGGTTTGACCATACACTGCAACAATCAGTAGGCATTACTAAATAATCAAATCAAGCCAAGGTAAATTCCAAGCAAAGAAAGAGACAGCCCCATCTGAACTCAAAAGTCACTCTACAATTGCTTTTCAAATTGATATGAATTACCCGGAATAGGTTTTCATCCTTATTCGCTTCTTACCACTACACAGTTATAGACACACTCTAATCAATAAAAGCAAAGTAAAATTTATCATAAAAAGAATGACCTTTCAGCACACACTTTAAAAATGCACTAGCTCAGTCCTGAAGGATTAATGCAATAATGCATCTAATTTATGTTCTCAATACACTGGTGAATTCTTACTCAGCTGACAGTAGCAAAGCACATATCCCAATAAATTCTGTAATTAGTATAACGTTTAGGGCACACTGAAGTCTTGCAGAAATATCAGTGGCATTTCATGGGGAAAGAACATTTCACTACAGAACATTACACTAAAATTGCAGTAATGTGTATTCTTCACAATACCAAAAAAGGAAGTCTCCCATGCCAATCAAACAATACTGCCTTTGGTTATTTGACATTTGAATCTAGGTTCACAATTTGAAGGCATTAAAGAATCTCGGCAAATCAAGCTTCAAAACAACAATTCCTGATGAAAGATGGCAAGTCAGAAAGAAACATCCAAAGATTTTCTGTACTTCTATACTGTAGCTGGATTGACCCACGCTATCTTACAAGACAAATTAGATACAGGACCAATGTCTCTCAATTCAAATGATTATAATAATGTCTCTCCTACAGACTGCTTTCAAAGTCAGATATCATCTCCCAAATGCAGCACATTCAATCATGCAATAAATTATACACAAAGTCTATTTCTTGGTTAAAACACACACACGGAGGAGGAAGAGGAGAAGGAGAAGACTTGAATGACCTCTAACAAAGATCACAAAACAAGCTTTCATTTTCACCTTACGTTCAACGACTATACTCAAATATCCAATCTAGGAAACAATATTGCAACAATAGCCATTTCAATATATCTCTTTACTTTGATAAAGATGCATTTTTAGGGCTCTGATATGTCTTTATGAAATATGTGGAGTTATAATCAACACTCTGAAAGGCCCTCTCTAGCTACGAACACATACTGGTTAAGAATGCAAAGGTAATAAGCTTTTCCAATCACACTCCTGTATGCAAGAGTTTTGACAAAAGTACTATGCCTCAATTGTCCAATATTGTGTGTAAGACAAGGGTTTACAATGCCCATTATCAAAGATATGGGTAACCCCTGTAGCCTTTCATGTACAGATTCCCAAACTTAAATCTACTTCGTAAGAGTAATGTTTGATAGGCTTATTTGCGTTAGATGCTATTCATTTAAAACATTCACCTTCAAACAATAAAATAAAAAAATATCAGAATCTAAATTTCTAGTTGTATTTAGCATTAATTAGTCTTCTATGTTGTGTTCCTTGCAAACCAGTTACATAGTGCAAAGTGTATTAGGCTCTTACAGCTTTTGTTTAAGCCTAAGATTGAATTTGTTAATTATTTCATTTAAATAATACATCGTTTCGATTTCTGGAAGTACTAGCATCTTTTATTGTTGAAAAGTGTCTCTATATAATTACAAGATCTTTGAATTTAGTTATATATGGTGCTTTAGTTGTTTCTGATATCCTTACACATCGTGGTCCTTTGGTTTTGTTAACTTGCTACTTTTCAACAGGAGCCATCCCACAAAATCCAGTGTGGCATAGGGGTTAGGGTTTCAGATGAGGATCTGTAGGCCCAGGTTCAAATCCCTGCTCTGCTATGAAAGCACATAAGGTGACCTTGGGCCAGTCATCTCAGCCTAAGCTACCTCACAGGGCTGCTGTGAGGGTAAAATGGAGGAGAATGTTGTAAGCTGCTGTGGATCATGGGCCGGCATGGCACAACTTGGGCCCAGCCCAGTACAGCATAACTTGGCCATAGTTTTCCCAGGTAAAGGATGCTGGGGAATGGAAGAAGGGAAAGCTGAAGATGGTGGGGCAGTTAAATGTAGCTTGGCTGATCGGTGGGAATACTTAAAAGAAGCATGAAAAGGGGAGACACTAGAGGGGTTTCTGGAAAGATAAACAGGAAATAGTGGGGGAAGGGAAGTGAGATGCCCTCCAAGTCCTTGTGGGTCCCCCCACTTGCATTAACCTAAAATGCTATTCTATTTAATACTGAAGTCTATAAAATGACAAAAATTGTAACTGAGAGCATCAATCAACATGGGCTCACCTGTATATTGCCGAAATCCACATTTTCATAATGGAAGTGTGCACATTCAGCCATCTTTGGAAAGTGGCCCTTTGTAAAAGATAACCTGAAACAGAATTAATGCATTAGCTGTGAATCTAAAGCAAGCACTGGTGAGTGTGTTAGCAAAATGCAGGTGATACCACTCCATTATAAAACATTATCAATAATACCAAACCATAGGACTCAGGAAAAAATTCTGTGATGAATGCAAAGTATTAAGCCGCATTGGACATGATTATTCAAACAGAAGAATGTATATTTCAGTCCACAGCCAGAGGCAAGGTATAAGGCCACTGAGGAAAAAGCAGCACAAGCAACCTCACAAAAGCAACACAAATGAAACCAGAACATTAACCTTTGAAAGGAATCACAATCTATTAGCCCTAAATTGGCAGATCTGGAGGTACAGAACTCATTGTTTTTAAGTCTGTGTCTTGTTTATATTTGGTGACATTAGAAGTTACTGCTAGAATGAGGTTGTACTCTAGCATGTGCTGAGGCTGCTTCAGAATTCTGGGGCAGATATTTCTGGTTGTAAAATGAGGAGACTGATCATCAGTCATTCTTCCCATGAGAACGTAAGAGGAAGATGAGATTTAACATCAGCCCTTGCCCCATCAGAAAATAAGGCCAGCTCTTCTAGCAGAATCAGCAGATGGTAGATGGCTACACTGAATAAATCCTTCTCTGACGGACAGCTCTCTGGACCTTAGATCAACATTCTAGGTAAAGATGGGTAAAGTGCAAATCTACCTAGCATACTATATGGGACTGCATTCTGCTGGAGGCAGGGGAAAAAGAGAAAGAATACAACACAGATGAAAGCAGCACAATAAAAGGTATAGTAAGAACAGTACTTTGGGGAAAGACAAATCTTACTCAAAACTTCTGATAGTGGAGGGCATACTTCACTCTTACACCTGAAAAGGTTTACTATTAGGATCAATCTAGGTATCACCTCAGCTCTATCATGGACTAGGGTATGGCCTCCTTATCAGGAAAGGACACCAAAGACTCCAGTGAGGAGGAGGGTGAGGACCCCATACCACCACAGAAGGAGGCAGCTGAGACCCCTCCAGGACCCTCCTTTGATGTACAGGTATGAATCAACTATCTCGCCTTGGGATGCAGCCCTGCCTTCTGTCTTAGACCCTGAACCCTCCACCCCAGAATCCACTGTTGGTGAAGCTGCTATTGTATTTCATTATTTCCCATTATTCTCCCCAATAGGGACCCAAAGCAGCTTACAAATTTCATAAAGCAGAGTATAAAAACCAACAAAAAGTACAGAAAACATCCTGGGCTGGTGCAAACCAGGTTAGTCCAAAAAACACAAAGCTGTGAACAATAAGCTAAGGGCCAAAAGCCTCCTGGCTGCAACAGTAAAGGGTATCTTCTCCTTGAACCTCTTCCATCTTGTACACACAGAAAACTTCAAAAACAGACTCCAGCATTAAATTGCTGAATGAAAATTGGCAGGAAGCTTGATTCTATCCATCTGCACTTCAACTGAGCTAATAATTTCTTTTTATCCTACATATGGCCAAAATTGCTTAGTGAGTCTATGCAGATCGGTGTTATCACCCAATACCGCTATTGTGTATGGTCACTATGATTATCTTGCATAGTTTTGAGCTTTCAATAGTACCTTATGCACCATGGCCTTTTGACCCATGGTTTACATTTTTTCCCCCTCTAGGCCCATGTGACTGCCAACAAGGAACACACTTTATGTATCTCATGATGGGGGCTCTGAGCCACAAAAACATACACCATGACAAATCTGCCAGTCAGTGCCAAAGGATTTAACGTGTTTTTCATTGCTGGTTTACAGAAGTTGTAGGGGGAAAATACTCCGAAAAATTTTATCTACTTCCTATTGTCTTTTGCCAAAACTAGTTTATTTTAAGTATGTTGTTTTAAAGTTTAACAAGCAGCAACAAATCAGCCATCACATCATAGTCTACAGCACTGGCTGAGCATAACAGGAGGTCATCGAAGCTAATAAGTACATCATGAAAAATAACTAAAGCAAGATAGAACAACTTACTTTTTCACGTTCTTCACTTTCATGCTAGCTGTGCTACCACACGTTCGCAATGGTAGCTCTCCTGAAATCTCAGGGATGTCTGCTCCTCTCGCCTGTGGGAGACACAGGGAAATAAAGGTGGAAAAGTTTAGCTTTAAAAAAAATAATAAGGCAATGGCAAAAACCTTGTCAATTCTCATTATTAGCTATGTCATGCATCATAAAGATTAGTAATACAGACAAAGTGCAATACTAGGATTCTAAATACAGGTTTAAACTTCTGAAAGGCTCCCCAAAAGGAAAACAGCATCCTATGTTATTAAAAGTTTAAATATGAGTCAAAATATTTTCCCTGTATTACACTGATATACACCCTTGACAGAGCAAAAGAGGGCAGTTGAGAGAGTGTTGTACTTGAACCAGGGTGACCCAAGCTCATATTCCCACTAAGATTTAAAGCTCACTGGGTGATTCTGGGACATTCTCCTTGTTTCAGCCTTACTTATCTAAGATTGCTGTGAGAATGTAAGCGAGAAGTCCACATTAACCATTCTGAGCTTCTCAGAAGGGGAGGATGGAAATGTGATGGTGATAATAATTACTAATGCACAAATGCTAGTGGTTAGTGAACCACATATACTCCACATGATCCATTTGCTTTCTTATCTGTTCCTTTACCTATGTAAATGAATACTTTGTCAAGGAGTCTAAATGCCACGAGTGTAGATTAACCATTTCTTCTTGAAACATTACAGAATAAAAATATGTTTCTATGGAGTATATTCCTGAAAATACAATGAACAGTACACAAAATCCCTAGGGACTATTTTGGATCCCTAAATAAAAACATAATATATTTTGCATACTGGTTATATCTTTGCCATACACAGAGTTCGATCCAGGACTTCCTAAAAGTTTTCAGAAGGGATCTTTGTCGCAATCTTGTCGTCCGTCCCCGCTCCCCATCCACAGTTTGACCAGGATTTACAATGAGAACCATAGTTTCTTGATTTGGAAGTAACAGCAAATTATGTCTGGTTTAAAGCAGGAAAGGGAGGGGGGGGAGAATGTAAGCCCAAGATTGCTCATATAATGCCAAATCATACTTTGAAATTGCATACAAATTAAGCTGTTAGCATAGGTCAATATTTTAAAATACAAGATCACCTAGCTCAAATTCAGAAAGGTACAAATGTATATATGTAATTGCCACCTTGTATCCCTTGAAACTATTAGAATCATTTAGAGTGAAATCTGTTGTACTTCTACAGAGTGCATAATTATCACCTACTCTGACCAGTGAGGCTACAAATAATTGCATAAATAAGTCTGCATGCTCAAGGACGATTTAGACTTCTGTCTCTCAAAGAGAATAATGCCATGGTGTAATGCAACAGATAGACAGTTCCAAAAGCAGTTTGCAATGCCCTATGACAGGGGTGTCAAACATGCGGCCCAGGGGCCGGAATAGGCCCCCGGAATGCTTCTATCAAGCCCACAGTGGAATTGGCTGTTTTCTGCTTCTTCTTCCAGTTCTGCTGCTGCTGCATCATCATAGGTTTGCAGCTTACAGATACACACCTGAACAGCATACTCAAGATTGCAACAGCACAGACATTTTGGTGCAATAATTCAGAGCAAGAGGTGTCAGTTTTCAGACACTGTTAAATAAACAAAATATTGCAAGAGTGCTAATGTTTTAAGCATGTTTTTATTTTAAGTTAAAAAAAACCCTTTGTTTGTGTTTATATATAAAGTTTATATCTCAGCTACCTGGCATTACATTTTATGACACACATGGCCCGGCCCAACAAGGTCTCCTTTATATCAGATCCGACCCTCATAACAAATGAGTTTGACACCCTTGCCCTATGGAGTCCTGCTGTTCAAATTCAAATTCCCCTTGTAGGCCGTCAAGGCCTTAGGTGTGACTTCAGCATTCCTTCAGATCCCACTCTTTATTCAGAAAGGAGACATAATTTACAGATTTCACTTTGAAACAATGGCCTAGCCCTTACTGCTGCAAAAAATCTATTCCTGGGTTGTACCCCCTCAGACTATGGTCAGGGGTCGTGGTGGATATGATGAAACAGACTTCCATACCCCCCCCCATGCCTGCACAGAGAAAACTGGTATGTCAGAGAAAATTAGTACCCCTCTCTCTCAAGGGTGTTGATGAACAATTACAACTAGGTCCTTTTTTCCCAATGTTATGAACTTCACCACACTGCTGAACTCCTACACTTTCTCCTTACCCCATTACACAAGAGAACAGTTTTTCTATATGAGCTAACCAGATTACATGAATGTTTCTTCCCCAGCAAAGGACCTCTTCACTGCTCTTTAGGCTAAGTATTACCCTAAGGAAGGAAGTTGTAGAACAATCATTCCAGAACTATTATCAGAATTTGCACTGGAAAGTCCACGGTTCAAAATTCACCTCCAACATATGATTGTGGTCTTAGACAACTCTCTTCTCTGCTTCATTCCACATTTGGAATGTGGGCCTAATGATGCTAGCTTCCCTAAGTATTGTTGAGACAACATCCATATCTGAACCCTTGAAATGTGTTACATAACCACTAAGCAAAGTATTACCAAACTTATATTCCCACATGCCCCTGGAGAGCTTACCAAATCAACAATTGCACAACAGACCTTATTATTATATACATATGCAATTAAATTTATAATGTAATTTATGGAACTGATTGCATAATGGGTCTTTTATATAGTGTAATAAGACATAGGTTAGAATGAGACTAGGTGATGGGAGATCTTTCAAATCCTCACACTGTCCAGTCACTCCTTCTCAGCCCAACCAACCTGACAGCCCTCTGGAATCTTTCCAGAACCATCTTAAATAAGTACCCAATCCCTGCAGAGGTTAAGAGCATAAGAATGTAAGAGAAGCCAATGTTGGATCAGGCCAATAGCCCATCCAGTCCAACACTCTGTCACACAGTGGCCAAAAATACCAGGTGCCATCAGGAGGTCCAGCAGTGGGGCCAGGACACTAGAAGCCCTCCCACTGTTGCCTCCCCCCCCCCAAGGACCAAGAATACAGCACATCACTTGCCCTAGCCTGAGAGTTCCTATCTATACCTTGTGGCTAATAGCTTGTGGCTATCTATACCAATATAAAATTCTGCCTCTATGCAGAACCCAAATACAGGGTTTGGCTTTCTATGTCTAAGGTTCAAGATGTATTGAGACTGTTCCATGGTGGTTGTGAAGTCCTGGACTATGCTCAGAGATGTTTACTCATGGTGGTCATACTTACTAGTATTTGAACCCAACTGTTGACATTATAGTATTGACAAATCAAAGCATTTTTAATTTTTCTTCTCCCTTCTGACTCAAACCAGTTTTGGAAAGCTTTCAAGGAATGCAATGTTTAAGTTCTATCAATTTTCTATGCCATTTTTTTCAATCCCTGCTTTCCTTGAGAGAACTCAGGGTGGCATACATTGTTTTCCCCTCCTCCATTTTATCCTCACAATAACCCTGTGGGGTAGCATCAGGCTGAGATAGAATGACTGATCCAAGGCCATATTGTGAGCTTCATGGCAGAGTGAGGATTTCAACTCTAATCACACCACACGCTAATCATCAACAGCCCTGAAACACCAACTTGCACTCAGAAACAGTGCATCATCTCAGTCGCAGGCAGGCCACGAATAAGTATAAGAACTTGTTCTGCTCTAACCATATTGAATGTTAAAAGGTTCACAATAAGAATCTTTTTTCAAATGAAGCAAAATATTTTAGTGCTTCCAAATAGACTACAGTTACACTGAAAAATGCAAATCATCATTCTTAAAGACTCACACAACAGCCCCCTTACAGACGCTGGACTCATAACAGGTGTCATGTGTAGATCCCTTAGCTGGATGTGGCAGTTCACCTGATTCTTGATGTAGAATTAGAAATTATATATAGAGGCTAATAGACAATACTTGAAATCTAATACAGACATGCATCTGCAGGCAACCTAATCAACGTCATTTACACTGTCTTCCTCTCTCTGTTATCATGTGCAACCTATGAAAACATGGAACATTTATTTATTTATTTTTAGATTTATATCCCGCCCTCCCAACGGCTCAGGGCGGCTAACATACGGCAAAAGCCGCATTAAATAAATAAAACACAATTAAAAAGCCACATTAAAACTGTATAGAAATACTGATTTCTAAAAGTCCATGCCTTTTCCTGTGATGTCTTTCTGATTACATGCTGTGTCTTGTTTCCTGTTGAAGCCAAATGGCCTGTCCATTTGGCCAGAGAAACTCCATAGCCATGCCATAAACCCACATTCTTCACACTTCCATGCTAGAAGCTAGACTGTGAGGCACCCCACTAGGCCCACATGCAAGTAGTCACATAGCCGATGGAGAAGCTGGAGTTTGGGGTCATGTGACTGCAGGCGTGGTTTCCAAACTCCTATCCTATCCTCACACATAGTCATAACAACCAAATCTTGGGCATTCCCATTCCCACTTGCAATTGGCTCCTGGCCAGGGCTAATTTGTGACTGGAATTCGCCTATAACTGGTCATTCTCTATGGGAGAGACTCTCTCTCTGCTCTGTGTTCCTGCTCTCTCTGTACTTGTTTGAATTGCACCTGGAAATGCTGTCCCAGGTGGAACAAAGAACTGCTTTGTGACTTGAGCACATGGTGTGCAAAGATGGGGTTGCTTTTAAAAATCCCTTGGTGTCTAACTGGACTGTCTACCTTGGACACTATTTGGACTGATGGATTCCTGAACTTGGTAAATATGCATCTTGTACTGTGTATTTAAGGCAAAGAGTCCTAGCCTTTCTTGTTTTGAAATCTTTCATGGTTTAATTGCATTGCTCTGTACTGAATAAAAAATTGTTCTTGTTTATAAATGGTCTTTGATGTTGTACCTGGGTTCCAAGCCTAAAATCCTGTAGCCTAAACGCTGACCACATACGCTACTATTGGAGGTTAAAATATTGTGCATCTCTGGGAAGAGTTGTTAATGCGTTAAGTCCCAGATGCCAGCTGAGAGATTTGAATCTCTGCTCTGAGCTGGAGGGGATTATAGACCACTGTAGAGATTCTGGTGGCATATTGT